ATGAATGTAAAGGAAAATCCATCTAAAACCATTAAAGCAAGGGTCTGGTGACATAGGTCACTGGGTAAGAACGCCTGTCACCAACTGATGAGCTTAGTAGATCCCTGAAATCTACAAGGCAGGGGGAGAAAACCAATTGTCTCTCACTTTGTGAGAGGTGTTTTCCTCTCACTTTTACCACACACCTTGGTATGTGGGACACACACACACACACTAAATAGTCATAAAAAATTAAGAGAAAATTAAGAAAGAGAGGAAAAAATAAAATGAAAACTTTGCTATAAAATTTAAGATGAAAATTCAAAAGAATAAGATTGTTTTTGATTTAAAATTTTAAATGTGGCAATTACGAGTTATGTGAAATTATTAACAAATGCTGTAGAAGTAGGTTTTACCTGGTGAGAGGCATCACAAGATTGGCTGTTATTCCCCAGTGTCCTGTCCTTTGTCTTCCCTCTCTCCCTTCCCTCCTCTTCTTTCTCTCTCTATGCTGTCCTTGCTAAATCAATAAACCTTTAGAGTTTATTGCCACCTACTATGACTATTTTTCTTCCCAAGGTCCGCTCTACTGAAACCATCATTATGGTCCGTATTTCTTGTAAATGCTTTTGGATTTTTTTGTTTGTTTGTTTCAAAACATTCCTGACACCCTTTGAGAGTGTTTGAGACTCCCTGGAGTATTAACAAAATAATAGCCACCTTTTCCCTTTCCTCCCCCACCTTAAGCAAACAGGAAGGATCCAAAGCTCTCCCTGATTTTGTATTATCATTTTAGGACATGGGCAGTCTGACTTCTGAGCTCTTTTCTTTAGCTCTCTGTTGTTAAAAGTATCAAACCATGAGGTGCACATTATTTTGGGGGGGGAATATTGTTTCTTCTATTTCTTTGTCCATTCTCAAAACAAATCAATTACAGTTTAAACTTAAGTTTTTCTTGGGAAATGTGTAGCATTCTTGCACAAGTGAAGGAGACTGGAGCTGAGATAGTAGACTTTCCATTTCCTTTTCATAGAGTTACAGTCTACATCGAAAGCCTCTGTCTATTCACAAGGAGACAGTGTGGCTTTCGTTTGGTTGGTTGAACAGGCAAAGAAGCTGTCTGACCCATAACCCTTCAAATTTTATATCTGCCAAACCTCATTCATAAGATGATGTGATGGTTTATAGATGGGCTTTGAGTATTCCAACTTAGATTCAAATTCAACCTCTACCAAGTCTTAGTCTCAGTTTTCCAAATCTCCATTTACAGAATAAGTTCATGCAGTTTGAACCTACATTGTTTTTGAGACTTGCGTGATGCAGGAGCTATGAAATGCTTCGATTAGCCAAGTAGTCACTGCTATTACAGCTACAAAAGATCCAGAAAGCATCTGTGTAAACTCCATCTACTGTGTGAATTCACCTACTATGTGAATTCACCTACTGTGTGAACCTCACCTACTTTGGGATCCTTGGTTGTTTGTGCTGGACAAAAAAAAATGTAAAGGTTACAGATTATATTTTGTCTCTCATGAAGAAAAACAAATGAGGAGATGAATATCATAGAGCAGGGAGCTAAGTCACAGTATTTGCTGCTGGATGGTGTGAATTTGTAGCATCCACATAGTGGTCAGAGTTAAGGAGTTGTACTCAAAAAAAGAATTCTAAACTCATCCCTATGCTTAACAAAATTTCCATCATTTCACTTTGAATTTCTAATGTTTCCTGCATTGTAAGAAAGATGGTTTTAGACTAGCCATGATCACGGTATGTTTATTTCATGCATAGGATCACAATATGTTTAAATGTTCACATCCATGATTTTTATAATGGTTATTGTTTGGGATAGGGACAATTTAAAGTGAAAGTATATTTCAAGTCAACTTAAAAACATATTCAATGACTATAGTAGTACCCCAAATCACAAAAATAAGACATAATATACAATTCAGAGGATTTTAAGACTGATTTATTTGGATATTGTTGTAACAAGCAACTTAAGTGTATTTCAGCATCCATTGACTTGCATTATAGACTTATAAAGACATAAGCAAGCCATATACATCACCACTTCATCTCATCTGTATCTAAGAGCAAAGTTCAAGTACAAAATGGATGATAGGGAAGGCGGGTCTGTGTATATAAAAGTGCTTATGCCATTTTGCAATTCAGAGTAAAGAAGATGCAGGAAGAAATACTTCTCTTCATTCTATAAGTCACAGATTCCAAGGGAAACATTCCTGAGAGTCATCAGTTTGTTGATTAATAAATATGTTGTTAAAATGTGAAAAATTAAAAAATTAAATGATTGTATTTCAGAAAGTCATGCAATCTAAGGAAATAAATATAAGCAGAGGAGAATCTAAATGGGAGGTCTCCATTAAGTCCCTCCCCTCAGAGTTCAGGGAATGCTTAGGAAGAGGAGGAGAAAGAATGGAAGAGCCAGAGAGGAAGAAGAACATGGAAAACAAGAGAACATGGCTGTCTGTATCATCTGAGCAAGCCTTATATGAACTCAGAGACTGGAACAACAAACACAAGGCCTGCACAGGTCTGCACCAAGTCCTCTGTTTATGTATTATAGCTTTTAGCTTGGTATTTTTGGAACTCCTGAGAGTGAAAGTGAGTGGGTCTTTGATTCTTTTGCTTGCTCTCGGGGCTGTTCCCTTCTATCCGGTTGCCATGTTCAACTTCAATAGGATGGATTTTGCTTTACCTTACATTTTATTTGGACGTCTTTTCTTTTTTTTTTTAAATCTCTTAGAGCCCTGTTCTTTTCTAATAGGAGACGGAAAAGAAATGGGTCTGGTGGGGAGGGAAGAGGAGGTAATGAGGAACTGGAAGGAGTGGAGAGAAAACTATAATTGGACATACTATACAAAAGTATCTATTTTTAAATAAAAGAAAAAATTTTTAAAAAAGAAGACCAGACTGAGGGGATATCTCCTTTATAGTACTATTATAGTATAGTACTATAAAGTACTAAATATAGTATATAGTACTATAGTTATAGTTCTATTAACTCAGAGAATTCCATACCATGTATCTTGATTATACTCATATCCACTCCTTCCCTACCTCCTCTAACCCCATCTCCTCCCTGCTTTTGTTTTATAAGAGACACTCACAGCAGCTGCCTGTCAGCTTTCTGGCTCTTACAATCTTCCTACATCTTCTACTACTGGTTAGACTAAAATGATATCAAAAATGATGGAAGTCATTTTGCAAATAACCCGCCTAACTGGAGAGCTTCCTACTCTTCAACAGTAAGCAAACATAGGGAAATTATCTCCATAATTGAATAAATACATTTAGAAAATCTTTGTCTTTCAACTCTACATCTTTCTCCAACATTCATTTTGTTACACAAATGTTGATTTAGTCACTTCCCAATTGCATTTAACTGTCTTGTTTTACGTGGTTAACAGATTTGTTCTAGAGATATAGATAAAAATGTATGAAGGAGGATATTTGACGCCTGAAGAACAAGTTATAATTAAAATGCCATTGGATTCATCTTTAAGTCTTACTCTGCTAATAAGACTGTGTTTTCTCCCTTTTAATGACCATTAATATTGATAAACTAATCTGAGGTAGATGAGTGTGGTGAATTCTAAGAGCCTGTGACACTACTGTAATATCTGAGTCCTCAAAAATACCAGAACGGTAGGTGGTATTCAGCATGTGGTTTGGGGGAACAAGTGTTAATTTACAAAAGTAGAAGAACCAGAAGGTTGAAAAGAAGAAAAGAGAAAAAGGAAACTAAATCTTAGAATGCCTGGATGGCACCATGTACTTGGCCTTATTTTCCAGAGGTGACGCCACTGGGAAGTTTTGAATTATAAAACATCACTGAGAGACTGGAGAGATAGCTCAGATGATAAGAATACTGGCTGTTCTTCCAGAGGACCTGGGTTCAATATCAAGCCCCCACATGGCAGCTCATGTCTGTCTAATGCCACAGGAGATCTGATACCCTCACATTGATACACATTGCAGACAAAACACCAATGCACATAGAGAACAAAAAGGAATCCTCAAAATTTATTAAAAGAAAAACAGAAAAAAAAGTCACTGAGTTCTGGTTTACAATCTTTGCATAAAAGATGGGAAAGGTGAATCATGGAACTTTCCCTCAGATATATATATATATACATATATATATATATGTATATATATATAAGTATGTGTATATGTATATGTATATGTATATATATATATCTCACTCAAGAAATTTGAAAAAATGTCAGGAATAAAAGTTTTGGGGGACAAATAACAGAAAAATCAGCACATGATGGTACCCAAGATGGTTTTTGCCAAGTAGTGGAATGCCCTGGTTAGGCAGCAGTATAGTGAGGGTTGTCATTTCCTTGAACATTCTTTTATTGTGACTAAAGTACAGGACAAAGAAGAGAGGGAGGTCACAGAAGGGAGACCCTCAACTACTGTCCAGTGGTCACAACAGTGTCACAAGGTCATGCCTTAGTAAGAAGGAGTTTCAGGAAGTAACTGTTTTTAATTGTGCATCAGCCCCACTACATTAGGGTTCTCATGGTGTATTGGTGAAAAGCCAGGAGTTCTCACCAAGTAGAACTTAGGGACTTGCCTCATCCCTGGGGCATGGAAGAACTAGCTGTTTGTGAGAGTTAAGGAATGGAAACATTAATAATCACCAGATCTTTGCATAATATAAATAATATTTGCATAAATATGCATAAATGAAGGAATGTTTAATCTAGATCCATAGCTGGATAAAACGGTCTACATAGCCTTAATCATTCCATGTTGCTTGCACAGAATTGTTTGATAGGATTTTAAAAATTTATATGCAAATAACATTATTTCAGATAATGACACATTACAGAACACACAGATAGTGTCTTCTCTTTACTGTATAAAGTGACATTAGGCAAGCTCCTTACCCACTGTGGAATGACATATGCCTGGGAGATGAACAGATGACCACGCACATATCCTTTTGACCCCGAGTTATATGTTTCTCACATCTAATTCTCTTACAGGAGCAAGCAACCAAGAAGAAAAGAAGAGATGGGAATAGTGAAAGGCAACTGGATTAGGGGAAGATGGATCAGAAGAGAAAAGGGATTGACTTGTGTGGCTACAACAGTCAACCGTACAAAACTAAGTCATGACTCAGAGATGTATACACACATACAGCAGCATGTAATGATATAAGTACTATAACTGACTATCTTGTCTTTGAAAACTCGATCTTAGAAAATGACTGTAAATTATCATCTGTTTTTGTTTGTTTGCTTGGTTTTGTTCATTTTTGGTTTCCTTTTGTTCTGTTTTGTTTATTTGAAACTTCTTCCAGGAGAACTTTCCAGCCACAAGTCACTTACTGGATAATTTACTCTGCCTAACGTGTGAACTGTTGCTATAAAGTATGCATACCAGGTTTTTTCTTTTACAGAGATTTATGTGATGTGGTATTAAATTCTCTGGAATATGTCCACTGTGTTCTGGGGTATTTTCATTTTCTCCTCCAGGTGCAAAAACAAGTTGATAACAACCAGAAGCTGGTTTGTCAGTACTGTACTCGGGCCTGAGCTTAGAAAAGTACAACACAAATGTACATGCCCCAGCACCCCCACCCCTCCTTTTGAACTCTTGACAGTGGACTGGACTGCCTTCTAAAGGGCTCTTGAAATTTCATACATAATGTGGACATGCTTTCCAGAAATGGTTTATTATTATTTGTGCTGAGCTATCTGTCAAGCTCCTTTCCATGGTTTTATTTCCCTCTATAACTAGAAGGAAGAACTTGAATTGAGATAAATTTTAACTGAATTATTTTAAGTTTTCTTCTTGTGAAACCTGAGTCCTGTAATGGGGAGGCTTTCAAACACATTTCCCTTGTTTCTGTTTCAAATTCCACTGTGTTTATTTATCCTCTTGTTGCTTTTTCAAATTCCATTTGCCTTGATTCAGTTGAGCTCCAGAGATCTTTTAGAAGTTTACATGATTAAGTACTTGGGGTTATAACAGTGAAAAAGTATAGTATCGTCCTTCTTGTAAATATAACTAGTAAACTGTGCTGGTTAATGTTGACTTGATTCCTTACAATTAATAAGGTGGATTCACTTACATTTCTTGGTTATTAATCCCATTAAACATGTAGAAAAGATTCAGTTTATAGATATGGGGACTTAACTCCACAGAAAAGAAGTGGCCTTGTGTGACCTTGTAACTTGACAAGCTTTTTAGCTTATGATCCATGAGAGAAACCATAAGAGTTGTAAACACAGAAAAGCTTACTTCCGTAGGAACCATGCATGACTCCCACGCTTCCTTCAATGGGCTAGGGAACCACTCACAACAAAATCTCTGGAGTTTAAGGCATAAAACACATGATAGTTTCTGTCATGTGGTTGGGTGGGAAGACCAAACTTAGCTTTCTTTGGCCTTGACTTAAACTAAGGTGATTTATGCAAAATCCAACAAGTGAAACAACCTCTTGCAACAAGCTGGACAGTTAGTAGATCTTCCTCCTCCTTTACCCCCTTGTCCTTCTCCTCTTCTTCCTTCTCTCCTTCTTATCCACCTCCTCCTCCTCTTCCTCCTCCTCCTCTTCCTCTTCTTTTGGTTTTAAAGAAGGGGGTCTCACCATGTAACCCTGGCTGGCCTGGAACTCACTACATAGAAAAGGCTAGCCTTGATTGTTGAGATCTACCTGCCTCTCCAGTGGAATGCTGAGATCGGAGGAAAATGCCACCACTCCTTGCTCAATATTTCATTTAAAAATACTTTCTATTTTCAGAGGGATGGAGAGATGGGTAAAAGTACTTGCTCAGTGGGTAAGAGTACTTGCTCTGTAAGCAGGAGGACTTAAGTTCAAATTCCAGAATGCAAGTAAATGTCAAGGATGGCTGTATGTATCTACAACCCCAGCACTGGGGCAAAAGAAACACGTGGATTCTTAAAGATGGTTAGCCTTCCAGTATATGGTCGAGTGAAAGACTCAGTCTCAAGGTTGAAAGCAACAGAGAAAGACACCTGAGATCTTATTCTGCCTTATGCATGTGCACCCATGGGCATACATCCTCACACAGATACACACACACACACACACACACACACACACACACACACACAAATGCTTATGCCCCCCTCACCCACACAAATTTCAAAGTTTTTTCTTAAAAATAAACTTGACTATCTTGAAAGGGGAGTGTTGTCAAGTTTGTGCCAATAAGCAGTAAGAATCACAAAGTATAAATTACAAAATAAATATGAGGCTCATCTTAAACACTTATTACTACTTTACCCTTACTCTGCACAGAACTTGAGACATGATAATTTTCTCTTACTGCTCCTAGACTCTTTCAAAATACTGTATTTCTCAAAAAGTACTGAAAGTATGACTTTCTTTACTTGAATCAAAGCAAAAAGACAATGAGAACTTTAATCACACAAATATCTGGCAGATGGCTAAAGAGTCCTTCCATCATTTCAGGGAGTTGTCTTTTCTTTCTCTCTTTATTGTTTCAAGAAACATTGTTTAAGGCGTCACACAGAAAAGCAGGTTTCTCATTTCAGTGGTCCTGCAGCATGAGCTCTGTGGATGGGATTCCCTAATCATACTAATTACGTTACCATATGTTGCTGTCTGCTTACTTCTTTTGCTCTAATGAGACATAGATTTCTTAGTTTAGATTTGTTACTTGGTTATTGAATTTTTTGAAACACTTAGGAGCCTCTTTATTTGATTTTGAGAATATTCTGTCTAAAAGCTTGGCATGAAGGTCCATGAGATTAAATACGAATTGTCTGTCCTACTAAACATCACATTTGTATGTCAGCTTAACCTTGCTTGTTGTAATTAAAGTTTACATTGGAAATAGATGATAGCTATATTAATTTTAAAATGGTGTTTGTTGAATGGACAGGAAAAATTTTAAAAATTAGACATTGATATTAAATTACCCCAAACTATGTCTGTATAAATAATTAACATAATATTTCAAAGAAAATATAGTCATCCAAGTCACTTTCTTTCTTTACATATTGTGAAATTTAAGTGTGTGTCTATTGAGAAATAGGAATATGTCTATGTATTAGATTCATGCATTTAAATACACATGTAAGTACAAGTTTTACAATAGTAGAGTAAAAATAAAACCTTTTTAAAGAAAGGAAACAATCTGCTTTCTATTAAATAAAGAACAGTTCATTATTTATTAATATACACTTCCCAATTATTTCCAATCTTCTGTGTTGTAAAAGCCCCGAAAGAATGTTGTGAGCAAGCTGAGGAGAGGTAAGGATATCCTCTTCCCTCTGCACATGCTCATTCCTAATACATGCTGCCTCTTGGTAGATTTCTGCCTACTACCCAGGTTATCCCACATGAGGGTTTTTTTTTCTCCCTTACTGTTTCTAACAGTACATTCTTTTGGGTGTATTTGAAGATTATCATTGGAGCACTGACTCACTCGGCTTTGAAAATGTGTCCGACTCATGATTGGCAACATGTCTATTCCTCTCACTAGGTGACTGCTATATTTTAAGGGACCTTCTGCTTTCTTGTTTGGCTAACATGAAATTTGGGGGATGGGACTTGACTGGTATGCATGTGTGTGTGTGTGTGTGTACCCGCACACGTATGTGTATACTTGTAGCTCACTGGTTTTCACCCTATGGGTCACAACTTCTTTTTGAGGCTTGCACATCAGATATATTGAGTATCAGATATTTATATTATGATGCATAACAATAGCAAAATTATAGTTATGAAGTAACAATGAAATAATTTTATGATGGAAGTTACCACAACATGCGGAACCCTATTAAAGGGCTATAGCATTAGGAAGACCGAGAACCACTGATGTAATTGTTTTCTGAGGTAGTCTGGTCTGGTAAAAGCTATGTAGACCAGTTTGAGCTTTAACTTGTGTTTTCTCTGCCTTTACATCTCAAATTCTGGAATTACAAACAGGTACCACTCCCACTCCACCCATAAGTCTAGCTGCCTTATTTTGTTTTGCTTTTGTTGCTGTAGTAGTTGGGGAAATTACAATTTTTGTTGCTTCTCTGGGTACTTGATTCACCAGTAATGTGCATTATTTAACAAGCCATTAAACAACTATAAAGGCTTTTATTATGTTAGCTTTATATTGCCATCTATCTTTTTAATGGCTGCATTAAATCATTCAATTATAAAGTAAGATTGTTTCCATGATCTATCAACTGGTAATCAATCAACATTTCCATCTCTACTTATTTATTAGTACATATACATCAACTCTGTATCTTACTCTCAGCCCACACATATTTTTTTTGTCTGTATCAGTTTTGCCTTTTTTCTGCTCAAATCTGACTGATTAATAATCCAATCTTTATTGTGAAATTGCTGGCTTATGCTTTGCATGGAACAACCTCCCCATCATGTGGACTTTTAGAATATTGCTATGGAGTTGAAGCCATGCTGTATTATTGAAATTATAGACATCAATTTACTTTATGGGAAATGGGTACAGCCTTTTATAAATCATATACTAAGTGTCACATAATGTTCTCAACACCTTACATTTAATCATTCCAATAACCCTAAGTGATAAATATTCATACTATCTTGATTTTAAAAATAAGAAAAGGTAATTCAGACAAGACCCCAAAGCTGGTAAATGATAAGACCAAAAACCCTGGGGCCACATTTCAGTACTAGGTAAAGAATTTCTTGCCTCCAATCTTTTATACAAAGCTCGAAAAAAAATAATATCTTCTGGATAAATATCAATCAGTATTAATTTCCTTTCACTCAAGGCCAGCAGTGTTTCAAGCACTCTTTAGATCCTTAAAATAGTCTTTATTATTTTACCGTTTAATCAATGTCTTTATGATTAGAGGTTAGAAAATGTCAATGTTAATTGCTAGCAACCACCAATGACTGAGAATTAAACTCATTCTGGTTCAAAATCCAATAGGGTTCCCATACTTAATCACCAAGGTTACAAGAAACCACCTAGGAAATGTGAGCTTAGCTCCTGAGCAGTGTTATAGAATCTTCTGAGATTATTAAACATTCGAGGCAGCAGACGGGATTCCCCAGGGTAGGCAGGGGCATGGGGAAGCCATCATGCTTCTTCTGTATAATTCATGTTTGTTTTTAATAAGCTATTAAGAATTAAAAATTAATGTACTCCCCAGTTGTCTTCTTTGAGAAAAACAAGAATGTTTAGAGATTCTGTGGCTCTGTCGGACTTCTCAAACGGGTCTCACTTTGATTCAATTAACTAAGAAGGTAATCTGGAAATTAACTCAATCATGTATCAGTCAAGAAAAATAACAATAAAGGTCTCTCCCCATTTTTGTTTATGTATGTATTCAATAATACTCACCAAATATCAACAGTGTTCAGCACTTTCATTCCTTCAAGTCCAGCAGCAAGATGTGATAATGAGAATAGCTTTGTTCTAGAGCTGCTTCTGTGTAGATCCTTGAAGGAAGGAGTGGAGCGGGCAGGTTGAAATGGCACAGAGAACAAACAGCAAGACTAGACAAGGGAAGCATTTTATACGAAAGCCTGCCGGAGACCCACAGCAGCAAATCCTATAAAAGAGGCTATCACCATAGACACAGGCTCCACTGAGACAGTGAGGGTACAACATATAACACAAATAGGCAAGGGGTGCTCAAAGTGAGTCTGTAGCCCAAGTGATGTCATCATCACCTTGGATGAATGACTTTGGAAAAGGACATGCATGTGTGCTTGTTAATAGAGGTTGGGATACAAAGTTGCTGCTTCGTTAGGCAAGAGGTCCTTATGTAACACATGCTGAGTGGAGCTCTGGGGCCTAAGCTATTCCTTTGCTTGCCTATCTCTCAGGGCACAAGGGTATTTGTGCTGAAGGAGCCCTACATGCTCCCTGGACCGAATCTGTCACATGGCCAGCCTTACCCAAAGATAAGAATAGACTTAACATTGTAATTCATTTTAAAAGAAGAGAGGAACTGTATGGAGTGATGAAGAAGATGGGAAGGTTGCAGGAGGAAGAGGAAAGAGAAAAGACACGAGAAGAGATAGTATGATGATACTGGCACTACCAAGCCTAAAATGTTTACTCTACTTATAGGGAAATCTGTTGACATTTGATGTAGCAAAGAAACTTTTTTATGAAGAGGAACAAGGACTTCAGTGGACCAAAGTATGGATTTCAGCATTCACCTAATAATTCTGTGTTCCAGGAATTCTTGTAACTCTAAGACCGAGGGATCCAATGCTTACTCTGGGCTCCGTGAATGAAAGTATGTATGTACATGAACCTGAACATACTCCTCCATATAGGTAGATAGCTAGATAGATAACTGATGATAGACAGACAGACAGACAGATGAGCTATAAAAACCTATAAAAGGAAGAGGAACAGTAGAGAGGAATAAATTTATTAACTGAGTGGGATTTTTCCTAAGACTGGGGGAGAAGTCAAATATTTCCATAAATAAGGTCTAAAGACCTGAGCAAAGGAAAGCTCTTCAGATGGTGAGAAGAGATGGAGCTTTTGATCTTTACAATGGTAGCATTTAACTGTAAAGTGATCCGTGCTGTGGTAAGTTTCTCAACAACTAAAGAAATCAGAGAGCGTGATCAGTTCAGCCATTTCTTGGGGGCTTCATTTTATGTAGCTTTTACTTGCTGTTGGGAATTTGGAAATTGAACCCTATACCTCAAGCATATTGAGTACATGCTGCTTAATGAACTATGCTCACAGTCAAAATTTAATTTGAGAGATCAGGAAAGTCATGGAAGCTTTGATTTTGAAAACTAAATCCTAAGTCTGGGTCTTCCAATATGGAAGACACTTGAACATAGTGTTTTACCTTTCTTTTTTTCACATCTATAAATGTGTATTACAATAATAGTTATCTCTTATACTTTCTGTCAGAAAAAAAAGTTATCCAGAGAGCTGGCCCTGGGGTCATGAGAGTGGGAAAGCAGGACCCGACTCTTACCAGCTGTAGCACTAGAGAGAGCCACTCACCAGCCCTGACCCACATCTTTCCTGGACAGCACAATAGAGCTAGCCCTTGTGGTGGGGGCTTGGGTGAGCTGGTCGGAGAATATGAGAGCCAGAGAGCTGGCCCAGCTCCTCACCAGCTGCAACACTTTGGAGAGTAAGCCCCACATCTTGACTGGGCAGTACAGTAGAGCTGACTCTGGTGGTGTGGGTGCAGGTGAGCTGTCCTTGAAGGCATAAGAGCAGGAAAGCTGACAGGACATCTTGCATGCTGAAGCATTGGGTGAGCTAGCCAGGCAGTGCTGGAGAGCTCACTCTTGTGGTACAGGTGCTGGAGAGACTAAGGTGTGCCAACTCAGCTACCACTCAGATCAAGGGCTTTCAGTTGGCCCACCCCAACATCTACCTCATCTACCAACTGTTATAGAGTGGGGAAGGGCTGGTCCTACAGATCCATAGATGCACAATCTCTATGATGCAGGACAACAAGATATCCAAGAAGAGTACAGGTAAGGATCCAGTATTGATAGTGTAGCAGAAGTCAGAGGCCTCAAACCAGACCAACAACTCATTGCAATGAGCATTTGCAAGTAAAGGTATGTGGACAAAGAATATACAGTTGGACACACTGTGACACTCTACAAGTTCCTGCCAAGGACTAGCCTTGGCTTGGGGAAAGGTTCTGAGGAAAGAGTATCTGAGAGCCACGAAACAAAAGACTTGAGTCATGGGTTGAAGCTGACTGACGGCCTATGCTCTGCTTGAGACAGCTTTCTAGCCTGAGTTCTCTCTATTCTGCTTTCTTTCTCTCTGATATGTATTCTCTTTATGTTCTAATGGAGACAGTTCTCCAAGCAGTTCTTCCTCGCTATTCTAAAAAATTCTCTTCACAGCTCTTCTCTTGCAGATCATAAACCCAGTCTTATTTTACATATCAATCCAGTCATTTACTCTAGGTTTTCTTTGCATTATCTTATGAATCAGCATTCTATGACCCAGCCGCTTAATTCTTAGAACACAGCAAGCACACATTTTCTTTTAACAATGCAAAAGAATTCAGAGATCTGCTTGCCTCTATTAAGCACAGACAATAAACTAGCTAGGTGGAGCCCTGTCCCGAAATTACTATTTCTACCAAATCTGGGCCTTATCTCCCTCTGTCCCATGCTAACCATGAACTCATGAATCTGTCTGCTTTTGTAATCCTAAACAAGAACAAACAA